TGCTGTGGGCTGCAAGTACCAGCTCCAGACCGGGCCCCTTCGTGGTACTGTGTGCCGCCGCCCGCACCCGACCACCCGCTCCTTCTGCTGCCTCGATGACCTCTTTCGTCGCCGCTTCGGCCCGGCCCTGAACCTCCCTGACTGGCCCAGTCTGCTACACTACGGTGTGCCTGTGTTTGACTTAGACATGGATCAGATTAGTTATGCCCTGATTTCTCTGTATGCTGACGCTTCTAGTGTGTCCGGATCTTATTTCCCTGTGTTCTCTAGCTTAGGCGTAGCACATGTGTGTAGTACACAGACCCCTGCTGTGTCAGGCATAGGACCGTTTGCTTTGTCTAGTCTAGGCTCCACACTCGCTTCTCCTTTGTCTGCCGCTACTGCGTCAACATTGTTCACACTTGACTTTAGTGCGTCTGCCTGCTTCTTCCGCGACCAAGCTACGCTTACGCCGCTTGCCGCGCCTGCCGCTGTCACACTTGCTGACCCCTCCTCTGGTCCTGTAGTTGCTCGCAGCTACACTACCCTTCCCTGTCCAGCAGTCCCCTCGAGTTCCCTTACAGGCCTACACATCCTCTCGTTCTCCCGGAACTTAGTCGGTGTCGGCTGTCTTCAGGACCTCGGCGTCACCACTACGTTCCCGGGTCACGAGCGGTACGCCGTCTGTACTGAGGCCGCCTCAGATTCCCCCCTTGCGATGTTCCCCCGGGACCCGGTGTCTGGCCTCTTTACACTGGACATTGCTCCCCCCCCCAAGTGGGCGCGTCCTCCCCGGGTCCTACGTCTACCCAGGTCGCCGCTGCGTGCTCATATCGGTCGCTCACTCACCCGTCGCTTCTGTGGCACCACCGCCTAAGTCACCCAGCGCTCCCGCGTCTACGTCACATGTCGCAGCATAGCCTCCTCCTAGATCTACCTGCGTCACTTCCTGCCCTCCCTCCCTCCCCTGCGCCGCCATGCACACCCTCCGTCGAGGGCCAGCTGCGCCGTGCTCCTCACTCCTCCTCGCTTCGTTCTGCCACCGCACCCCTCCAGACCATGCACCTGAACGCCTGGGGCCCAGCCCCTGTCCCTGGACCGCGTCGCGAGCGCTACTTTCTAGTTCTCGTCGACGACTTCACTAGCTACACAACGGTGTTTCCCCTGGAGCGGAAGGCCGACGTGCCTAACGTTCTTATCCCGTGGATTGTAGCTGCGTACCTCCACCGCGGTCTCCCTGTGTTGTGTCTCCACTCCTACCGTGGCGGCGAGTTCGCCTCTGGTCGGCTTGGACAATTCTCTCGTGCGGAGGGCATCACCCTGTCGTACACCCTACCGGACTCCCCGCAGCAGAATGGGGTCACTGAGCGACGCATCGGCTTGGTCATGGAGGTGGCTCGTACCTCCATGATTCATGCCGGTGCACCCCATTTTCTGTGGTTGTTCGCCGTTCGCTACACCGCTCACTAGCTTAACCTCTGGCCGCGCTCCCAGTGGTCGCAGGTTTCGCCGACCCTTCTTTGGACCGGGATCCCTCGTAACGCGTCCGCGTTCCACGTTTGGGGCTGGCTCGCTCACGTTCGTGCATCTGGCACGGACAAGCTCATTGCCCGCCCTGTCCCCTGTGTCTTCCTCAGTTTCCCCCTGAACTCCTCTGACTGGCACTTTTACCATCCGTCATCTCACCGCTTCTTTCACTCCCGTCATGCCACTTTCGACGAGTCTGTCTCCTTTTACCACCGCTTTCACCACCGAGGTCTCCCGGTTTCCCCTCCCCTGTTTCTGGTTCCCACTCCCCCGGTAGCCCCTGCTCCCCTTCCTCCCCGTCCTGCTCCGTCTGGTGTGTCTCACGTCACTCCCCTCCCGTCGGTTGTCCCGGTCGAGGAGTCGGCTGACTCTGGTGGCCCTGCGGCACAACTCTTGCCGCCTGTCTCTCCTCCGGTGCCTCCTCCTCCGCCGTCGCCGCCGCAGCCGCCGCCGCGGTCGCAGCAGCAGCAACCGTTCGTGGCCTCTTGGGGTGTTGGCGTTGGGTTCGCAGCCGTTCTAGTCCTAGGGTTCCTGTCGTGGCTTGTCTCGGCAGGCTCGGGGGTGGCACCGGTGCTGGAGAGGGTTCTCGCTCTTGGGGTGCTCATTCTGGGGGTGCTTGAGTGGAGTGTTCCGGAGGTAGCCGCAGTTCAGCTGGCGGGCCAAATGTCGGCGTCGAGCAGCAGCAGTAGCTGTCGCCGCCAGTGTCCGCCCTTCGCCTTCTCAGCCTTCCCTCCCTTGACCGCTCGCATGCGCCTCCCCCACCGCCTCCTCCCGTTCCTGTCCACGGTCCTGTGTTTCCTTCGCCGGACTCGTCCCCGGCTCGTTTCCCATCTCGTTTCCCTCCTGTTACTCTTCATCTGTCTCATGACCCGACGCCTCTGTCTCACGTCTGGTCTCGTCGTCCCTCTCGTGCTCGTCCTGTCTCCCTTGTTCACCATTCTCACCCTATGTTGCTTCGTTCCCACGCGTCTCGTCCTCCCCTCCTGCAATCGCCTCCTCCGTCGTCACTCGCTGTCGCGCCTCCCCCTCTGTCTGACTACCTTCGTACTGCTCGTCTTTTGTTCCTCAAGTCCTTGCCTCCCTCGTTACTGACCCGTCTGTTCCTCTCTCGAGTCTTGACGCTCTTGTTGCTGTTATCGCTGACTTCGCCTCTATCCACCGCCTTGACTACGCCACCGCTCTGGTCTCTGACCCTGTCTGTCCTCCGTCCATCGGGGGTGCTTTTGCCCTTGGCATTGACGTCTTAGAGGACAGGCAGTACGAGCTTCTTTCATGTCCGAGGCTGCTCCCCATCTATGTTCTATGCTGCTAGTCCCTGAGGGTGACCCAGACGCCTTTGACATCCCGACCCCTCGCACTTACGCTGAGGCGACCGCGGGACCCTGGGCCTCTATGTGGATAGCTGCAATGGAGCAGGAGATGGCATCTTGGAGATCCACCAGCACCTACGTCGATGCAGTTCTCCCACCTTAGGTGAACGTAGTCAACGGCCGATGGCTCTTCAAGGTGAAGCTCCCCCTTGGAGAGGAGCCTCTCTTCAAGGCGCGCTACGTGGCTAGAGGGTTCAGTCAGCGAGAGGGGGTGGCCTTCTTTCAGACCTTCGCCTCGACTTCGAAGATGACTACTTTTCGGGCGCTGCTATACGTAACAGCACAGCTTGACTACGAGCTCCACTCCCTAGACTTCCCCACTGTTTTCCTTCAGGGCAGCTTACACGAGCAGGTCTACCTACGCCGACCGCAGGGCTTCACGGGTATCTTCCCTCCTGGGACCCAGTGGCTTCTCCGACGCCCGGTCTACGGCCTGCGATAAGCGCCCCGTGAGTGGCACGACACGCTGCGTGCTACGCTAGCTGACGTGCAGTTCTTTCCGTCCTCTGCAGACCCTTCGCTCTTCGTTCGTGCTGGCCAGACTCCGTTCTACATCCTTGTCTACGTAGACGACCTAGACTTCGCTACTGCAGAAATAGATATGCTGGCCTCCGTGAAGGCTGAGCTGCTGCTGAGGCACACCTCCACTGACCTAGGAGAGCTGCGCCGCTACCTTGGCCTGCAGATCTCTAGGGACAGAGCAGCGCGCACCATCACTCTCACACAGTCACACTTGGTGCGCCAGGTCCTTCAGAGGTTCGGTCTTCAGTTCTCCTCCGCACAGCCCACACCTTTGCCAGTAGACCACAGGCTCTCGGCTCCAGATCCTGAGGAGTCAGTAGAGCCGAGTGGTCCTTACGCAGAGCTGGTGGATTGCCTCATGTACCTGATGACTTGCACTCGTTCAGATCTCGCATACCCTCTCAGCATCCTTGCTCGCTTTAAGGCCACCGGCAGACACCGACCATAGCACTGGTCGGCTGCTAAGGATTTGCGTTGTCTAGCGAGTACATCGGGCATGGGGCTAGTGCTAGGAGGATGCAGACCGGTGGTCGTTACTGGGCACACGGACGCTTCTTGGGCAGAAGACGCTGAGACCCTCTGGTCCTTGGTTCGGGTGCCATCTCGTGGAGGTCCACTTGCTTGTCGTTTCTTGCCCAGTCTAGCTGTGAGGTTGAGATCTACGTCAGTGCCATGGCGGCACAGGCTCCGCTGACTGACCGACTTAGGTGAGCAGCCTAGCTTTGCCCCAGTCCTGTATGCTAACAACAGGGCCATAATCCTCCTGTGTCAGGAGCTTCGACTTAAGGGCAGAGCGAAGCACATCTAGTTGCGGTAGTTCTTCCTACGTGAGCTACAGCAGCGTCGCCAGGCCCGCGTAGTACCCTTGGCCTCTAGTGCCAACACAATTTTTATCTTTACTAAGGCACCTGCGCCTTAAGGTCATCAGCGGCACGGCTTGCAGCTTGGTCTCGTTCCTGTAGACTCTCACTTGCTAGGACCTTGATTGTGTTCTCCTCTTTATATATATCTTTCAGACTGGCCTTATGGCTCCTCTCCCAGTGGCCAGACTAGTAGTGCCGCCCTGGTTTGCTCCTATCTCGTTTGTACTCTTGCTGAGTGGTCTTCGGATCGGACCCCTGTCTCAGAGGTTGGACTTGTAGTGCCACCCTGAGCTGTGTGCTTCTTGCTCAGCACTACCCCTTATCTAGCCTAGGGGGTGTGTCAACTTTTACATACATTATGCATGTAGAAGTTATAGGCTAGAATAGGTGTATGTTCTTAGAGAGTACAATCCAACCCTATACCTTGCTTGTTCTCTCTTGTTTCTAGTTATTCTAGTTTTCTAACATGGTATCTTGAGTAGGTTAGGTCCACCAACCCGCTTCCGCCCCACGCCCTAGCCTACCGCGGCTCGCCGGCCCCTATCGCGCCCACCCGGTCCCCTGAAAAAAAAGAGAGCAAAATCAGCGTAAAAAACGATAACTATGGGCCTGAGCGGGAGGGTGTGGTAGTGGGAGAGTGTGGACGGGTGGTGGTTTGGGGATAAGGGGAGAGGGTGTTATCTTCTTACTATTTCGTGGTTCAAGGAAGAGTAAGGCATCGAACCTTGAACAAGGATCTCAAAGGACGAAACCATTATTGTACTGAAGAAGAAACAGGAAACAAGAGAAGAAAGAAACAAGCACAAAAAGGATAACAAGAGTAGATTATCTAGAGGCAAGGCACCAGGTCAACTCCCTCCAAGGCCACAAGGCGTTCCTCTGCGAGACATGTGCCACTCACCACACCACTGCTGCCCCCATCCAGATTGCTATCCTATTCCCAAATACCCACCCTCTGCCTTCATCAGAGAAGGCTCAAACGCTTCTCCATTTCCCCTCTCCCCCTCCCTCTCCCTGCATCTTACCTGCCGACCCTCGAGCGTCGCATGAAAAGCAAGGATACGGTTATTCCATTATTTCCCATGAGCGTCTGGCCTGCCGTCACTTGTGCACGTGCACCTCCATAACAGGCAGTATTTCTGCTCCCCTTATTCATGTGCAACACGGACAACCTTCTGCACGGTGAAAACCCTTCGATCCTCATCTCCATCTCTCCCCATCTTTCTGCCTCCCTGTGCATTCCACCCCTTTCGACCTTCACCCGCCGCCCAAGTACCCTACGCCTAGGCGGACATCTCTGTTCCGCCCCCTCCGGCCCGTCCTCTGACCACTCCACTCTCCCCGTCACGCCGCACGCATTCCCGTCACTCAAGCTCCACGCGTCCCGTCCACCCCCCTCCCCTTGTCTTCGCGCCTCATAATTTCTCCCGCTCTCAGCATTCCGCCCGCGAACAACATTCTCCGCGCACCTATCACGCCACCCGCGCCTTCTCGAAAGCCCCCGCGGCGCCTATCATTCCGCCCGCGCTCGCGGCCAGGCGGCACGCGGCGGGCTGGAAGGGCGGCGGGAGGAGCGACGCGGAGAAGAGCAGCGAGGGGCAGCGCGCCGTGATGTCGAGCCGCCGCACCGCCTTCTGGTTCAGCCACGCGTGCTCCAGCACCTCGAACGAGCTCAGCCGTTGATCCGGGTTCACGCGCAGCATCCGACGGACGAGATTCTTCGCGTCGACGGAGATGCCTTTCCAGCTGGACGAAAGAAAATTGATCGGCAGCGATTCGTGGAGCGCGAGCGTCGCGGAATCAACGGCTGGGAGACGCCCCGTTAGAACCGCGCACAGCGTGATCCCCAGACTCCACACGTCCGCCTTGAACCCGTACGAGCCCCCGTTACTGTCACAACGGGCGACCCCCGTCCCACCAGCGGCAGCGCCGGCTCGAGCGGCGGCGGCGGCGGCGGAAGCCGCTTGGTCCATCTCGGGCGCCATGTACTGGCGCGTGCCCGCGCCGAGGTCCGCCTTCTTCCCGTTGAGCCCGCCCTTCACGACCGTCGACAACGCGAAATCCGCCAGCTTCACTCCCAAGATTCGTCGCCCCGCCCCCACGTGCGTCGCCGCGATTGAAGGCGGAAGATACGGGCTCCAGTAGGGCGCTCGCTGGGCCTTCTCGGGCGCGGAGGGAGGAGTTGCGACGGGCTTGGTCTTCGTCGCAGCAGTCGCACGAGGAAGGTTCGTAATGTCGCCCAGCGGCTGTCGCTTCTTCGCACAAGCCTTGCTCTCCCCAGCATCTCCCGTCGCATGCCCCGCGGAAGCGTCCGCAATCTCCGGCGCATCTTCCGGCGGGCGCACGAGCAGCACGTTATCCGGCTTGATGTCGCGATGCATGACGCCCGACGCGTGGCAGTACGCCACAGCCGACGCGATCTGGCGGAACACCGTCGCGGCGAGCGGCTCGGCCAGCGGGCCGCGCTGCATCACCTCCGAGAGAAGATCGCCGCCCGGTACAAGCTCCATCATCACATGCACCTCCGCCGCGGCCGCGTCGACGATGAAATCCACGAGCCGCACGACGTTCGGGTGGTCCCCCACCATCTCGAGCGCGCGCACCTCCGCGCGGATGTCGATGATGGCGGAGTGCGACAGGGGGAACGTCTTGCACGCCACGCGCATGCCGCCGGGAGTGGTGACGTCCTCGCACTCCCACACGCTGCCCTGCGACCCCTTGCCCAGCTTGCGAATGCGGCGGTAGCGCCCGCCGATGAGGTCGCTCGTGGGGCTCGTTGGCGGGTTCAGTGGCGTCTTCGGACTCATTGTCGGACTCATTGACGGGCTGCCCGCCGAAGAGCTGCCCGCCGAAGAGCTGCCCGTTGTCGAGCTGCCCGTGGGACTCATTTCGGGCCCCGGTGCGGGGCTCATCTTCAGAACGGCTCGAGATGTGAGTGTGCCGCTGTTGCGGATTCCGGAAGTGATGGAATTTCGAGTTTTTTCAGAGGAGGTTCAGGGAGATTTGAAGGATGTCCTTTGCGCTAAAGCCTGGCTGGTTGAAATCGACGACAGATTTCAGAATTCCGTAGAGAGAACGAAACTGCTCGGAGTGCCTTTCAGGAAAAGCGCTATGCGGGTGAGAAGCTTCTTTAAACAGCGGAATGCGGACTTCTTTGAGATACTTCCGTGGTTCTACCTTAACTCGCAGTGATCGCCGAGACGATGTTCACGGAACATGAATTCCTACAGGACAGAAAATGAGGATGGGCCTTCAAAAGGCCTAGGCCGGGTAATAACACGTCAAGCGGGAAGAGTAAACTGGATGTCGAGAACGAACGAAAGAACTGGCGTGGTGGAATTATCGCAGCTCATGCGCAACACGAAAGAACTCGCAGAGCTGGGAACGAACGAAGTGGGATACCTTGAGAGCAGAATGAGGTGGGAGGGACGAACGAAGTGTGTGAAAGGCCGAGGAGAACGAATGTGAGGTGATTGGTTGGAGGAGGAGATGGAAAATGCGCGATCCTCGTGCCGCGATTCACGAAGAGCAGGAAGCGAGGAGGAAAACAAGCCCACAACAATGCAGCTGCTCTCGTTGGTTGGCGCAGCAATTTCAAGCCCACAACATGCTCGCCGCATCGTCTGGCAGGCCCAAGCCCAAAACTTTTCGGTGTTGCTTTTCTGGCTGTGCTGCCCAGGAAAGTGTGTTTTGGATTCTGCCCGCAGTTCAGTTCGACAAAGTTCGAGCCCCAACTCCCACCAGCTCAAGGTGGAAATTATTGGCGCACCTACTCCTCCCAACGTCTTCTTTGGGCTGACCCCAACACGCCGTGCTTCGCGGAAACTTGGAGAGCTGGAAGGACGACGTTCAAGCATTGGATTGATAATAACGGGGATCGAAAAAAGGATAATCTGCAGCAAACCATTACACAAAATCACCCATATTATGGATGTTCATCAAGTAGGCAATACTAACGCCTTTATAGGTTTTGGGTTGCATAGCAACCCTATACATTTGGTTTCACTTTCCAGAGCACTACAATGAACAGTGTTTTCAGGGGAACAGTGAACAACATTCACATGAATCGCATTTTCCCATGGAGAAGTGTCTGTTTGTTTAGGACAATAAATTTCTACAATACAAACAATACTTGGGAACAGGGCCTCAGATTCGTTTAGAGGCACCCTGATAGCTCAGGGTCCCCCCACCTTGGTCTCCTGATTTTTCAGGCCTCTCAGAAAAAAAATCCCTGATCCATCAAGGTATCAAAGTGATAACTGAATGGTAAGTAGAGAGAGAGTACAGGTGAGCATACCTAAGTGTTATACCCTCTAAGAGGTGGCCCTATACAGTCTATGCAAACATAGGAGATACACATGTTTGACACACCCCCTAGACTGCATAGGGGCAGGTCCTGAACAAGTAGCTCAGGGCGGCACTACTAGTCCAGCCTCTGAGACAAGGGTCTAAAAGACCAGTCAGAAGGAGTACAGACAAGGCAAGAACAAGACCAGGGCGGCACTACTAGTCCAGCCACTGGGAGAGGACACAAGTCCAGTCTGAGTACACATATAAAGGACAGTACAAAGTCAAGGCCCTAGCAAGTGAGAGGCTACAGGAACTAGACCAAGCTGTACACAGTGCCGCTGATGACCTTTAGGCGCAAGCGCCTTCGTAAAGATATCAGCTGTGTTGGCACCTGAGGCCAAGTGTACTACGCGAGCCTGGCGTCGCTGCTGTAGCTCGCGCAGGAGGAAGTACCGCAGCTGAATATGCTTCGCTCTGCCCTCCAGTCGAGGCTCCTGACACAGGAGGATCATGGCCCTGTTGTCAGCGAACAGGACCGGGGCAGAGCTAGGCCGCTCACCTAAGTCAGTGAGCAAGAAGGTCAGCCAGCGGAGCTCCTGTGCCGCCATGGCACCAGCGTAGATCTCGGCCTCACAGCTGGACTGGGCAACAGACGAGGAGCGGGTAGCTCTCCACGAGACGGCACCTGAACCAAGGCTGAAGCAATAGCCCTGGGTAGACCTGAGTGTCTCGGCGTCGTCTGCCCAAGAAGCGTCTGTGTGTCCAGTAAGGACCACTGGCCCACGTCCTCCTAGCACTAACCCCATGCCTGATGTACTAGCAAGATAACGCAAAACCCTCTTAGCGGCAGACCAGTGCTGCGGTCGGTGCCTGCCTGTGGCCACAAAGCGAGCAAGGATGCTGAGAGGGTATGCGAGATCTGGGCGAGTGCAAGTCATCAGGTACATGAAGCAACCCACCAGCTCTGCGTAGGGGCCGCTGGGCTCTACCGACTCCTCAGAAACTGGAGCAGAGAGTCTGTGGTCTACAGGCAGAGGGGTGGGCTGTGCAGAGGAGAACTGAAGGCCGAACCTCTGAAGGACCTGGTGCACCAAGTGTGACTGAGTCAGGGTGATGGTGCGCGCTGCTCTGTCCCTGGAGATCTGCAAGCCAAGGTAACGGCGCAGTTCTCCAAGGTCAGTGCACGTGTGTCTCTTCAGCAGCTCTGCCTTCACTGAGGCCAGTGCGTCCCTGTCTGCTATGGCAAAGACTAGGTTGTCGACGTAAACAAGGATGTAGAACGTAGTCTGGCCAGCACGAACGAAGAGTGAGGGGTCTGCGTAAGACGAAAAGAACTGCAGGTCAGCAAGGGTAGCATGCAGCGTGTCGTGCCACTCACGGGGAGCCTGGCGAAGGCCGTAGACGGGGCGCCGCAGGAGCCACTGGGTCCTAGGAGGGAAGGTGCCAGTAAAGCCCTGAGGGCGACGCAAGTAGACCTGCTCGTGTAGGCTGCCCTGAAGGAAGGCAGTGGAGAAGTCGAGGGAGTGAAGCTCGTAGTCACGCTGAGCAGCTAGGTGTAACAGAACCCGAAGAGTAGTCATCTTCGGGGTCGGAGCGAAGGTCTGGAAGAAATCCACCCCCTCACGCTGACTGAAGCCTCTAGCGACGTAGCGCGCCTTGAACACAGGTGGCTCTCCAGGAGGGCGCTTCACCTTGAAGAGCCAGCGGCCATCGACTACGTTCACCCCAGGCGGGGGAACTGCGTCGATGAAGGTGCCGGTGGATCTCCAAGATGCCATCTCCTGCTACATGGCAGCTATCCACTACGAGGCCTAAGGTCCCGAGGTCGCCTCAGCGTAAGTGCGAGGGGTCGGGACGTCGAAAGCGTCTGGGTCACCCTCAGGGACTAGCAGCATGGAACGGAGATGGGGAGCAGCCTTGGACAGGAAAGCAAGCTCGAACTGGCGGTCCTCCAGGACGTCAGTGCCGAGGGCAGGAGCACCCCCGACAGACGGAGGACAGGCAGGGTTAGAGACCAGAGCATTGGCGTAGTCAAGGCGGCGGGTAGAGGCGAAGTCAGCGACCGCAGCTACCAGAGCGTCAAGGCACGAGACCGGAACAGACGGGTCGGTAACGAGAGAGGCAAGGACCCGAGGAACAAGAGGACGAGCGGCACGAAGGTAGTCAGACAGAGGGGGGGGTGCAACAACAAGGGAGGACGGAGGAGGCGACGGGAGAAGGGGAAGACGAGACGCGTGGGAACAAAGCAACAGGGTGGGAGCGCAAGACAGGGGAGGCAGGACGAGCACGGGAGGGACGGTGAGACCAGACGTGAGACGGAGGAGTCGGGTCAGGAGACAGGGGAGGGGACATAGGTGGGGAACGAGGGGGAAGACGAGCCGGGGACGAGTCCGGCGGAGGGAACACAGGGCCGTACACGGGAGGAGGAGGAGACTGCCGGAGAGGAACAGACGCAGGGTCAGGGGACGGAAGGCCGAGCAGGCGAAGGGCTGACACCGGCGGGGACTGCTGCTGCGGCGGCACAATGCCAACACCGGGACCGCAAGCTGCTCCTCGGCTACCACCGGCACACTCCACGCCAGCACCCCCAGAGGGAACACCTCAAGGGCCCGAAACCCCTCGAGGACCGGTACCACCCCCAGGGGTACCCGGACTAGCACGCACTCCAATGCCAGCACCCCCAGAGTCAACGAACGGGTGCTGCGACGGCGGCGGCGGCGGCAGCGACAACGACGGCGGCGGCGGCGGCGGCGGAGGTGACAACGGCTGCGACAGCAGGGGCGACAGCGGCGGCAGAGGCGGTGGAGGAAGGGACGCCTGGGGAGGGGCAGCTGGCGAGGACTGCGCCGCAGGAGCACCTGAGTCAGAAGACTCCTCAACCGGGTCCACCGACGCAAGAGGGGTGACGTGGGACACACCAGAGGGGGCGGGATGGGGAGGAGGAGGGGGAGGGGCAGGGACTACCAGGGAAGGAGTGACCAGAAACAGGGGGGGGGTAACCGGGGGACCGCGGTGGGGGAAGCGACGGTAGTAGGAGACGGACTCGTCAAAGGTGACGTCGCGAGAGTGAAAAAAGCGGTGAGACGGCGGGTGGTAGAAGTGCCAGTCGGACGCGTCAAGGGGAAAACCGAGGAAGACGCAGGGAAGGGTGTGGGCAGTGAGCTTGTCCGTGCCGGAGGCACGGACGTGAGCAAGGCAGCCCCAGACGTGGAGCGCAGACGCGTCACCAGGAGACCCAGTCCAAAGACGGGTCGGCGAAACCTGCGGCTGGTGGGGGTGCGGCCACAGGTTAAGCTGGTGAGAAGCGTAGCGCATAGCGAACGGCCACAGAAAATGGGGTGTACCGGCATGGATCATGGAGGTGCGAGCCACCTCCATGACCAAATCGATGCGTCGCTCAGCGACCCCATTCTGCTGTGGGGAGTCCGGTAGGGTGAACGTCTGGGTGATGCTGCGAGAGTACGACCCCGTTACACCAATTTCCCCTTTCCATATTTCCTTTCTATTTCATTCCTCTTTTTATCCTCATTCATTTGGTCTTTATCTCATCTCATTTGGTTTCCTATTCCTCATTTTCCATTATCCTTTGGTTTATCCTGTTATTATACAGTAATTATATCACCGACCAGGCTCGGGATGTACTGGCGCGCTATATCTAGCGTAATCCTGCCGTAATCCCTTAAAGCCAATAGCCTCGCGTGGCTATACGCATAGTGATTCTATTTCTAGAAGGGTCTATTTCCTTTGGATAGGATAAACCTGGTTACCTGATGTATTATGGAAGTATAAAAGCACCTTGTACTGATTGATAGTGCAACATTGAGCAAACATTTCCTCGGGACATTCGATCGTGTAACACTTGGTATCAGAGCCAAGGGTTCAGCTCAACGCTTAACCGCTGGGCCCCCAGGAGCACGCGGAGGATGGGGTCGAAACTTCAATTCCTGTAAGTACAATGCACTTTCATTTAAGTTTCGACAATCCTCGCGCAGGTGCACCTGGGGTCCCCTTCAAAGGCGAGACGCCTCGCCAACCGTTCGATGGACTGCATCGACGATGCCGTTTTTTCGCGGGGGCAAACGGGCCTCGACCTCGCGATCGCGTCAGTTCCGGCGGAACACTCCCTGCGACATTCGGAGTAGTTCGCAGTTCGCGACAACACT